GCTGGGTTCTGTCTCATTCCTGGTGCCTCAATCCTGACCCTATTGTCATTGTGGGGTCTCCCCCTGGGGGTGATGTGCCCTCAGGCCTTGGACCCCTTGTGACCGCCAGTGGAGCCCTTGGGTTTTCTGCTGCAGCCCCATAGGACCATAGCACTATGGCTTCTGGGGTGGGGCCCCTCAGGGTCTGAGCCCCATTGGAGTTTGGTCCCTCAGGAGTCAGGCCCTGGGTGCTCTCATCTGCCCTTCTCTGATGGATGTGGCCATCCCTATGTCTGCTGTCCCTATATTCTTCCTAAGGATACACCCTGCTCTTGAAGCTTTTTTTTTTATGTTTACTTTGGTTGTCTGCTGTCTTCTTTTTGCTGTTTTTATGTTTTCTCGTCCTTTCGTCTCAGTGTGGAAGCAGACTTCTAGGAGTTACACTATATCTTTTGTGTAGTCTATTTTTGATGTTTCGTTTTATTTTATCTTTTCATGCACTCTTTCCTGCCCCTATATCTCTCTTTCTCTCCCCTTTGTCCTTATCCCGTCTTTCTCTCTCCCTTTCTTTCGCTCTTCAATAAAGTTTCATATATTATTACAAAGCGGAACTTTATGGAAACAGTCATTATGGCCTTCTTCTGAAAGGAAAAATCTGTTGGACTTTCAACTAGCTTTGGGACATCTATTCCCAGAGCCATATTGGCAAAACAGGACAAAATAAAGAAGCAGGGTTACGACCGCTTCCATAGAAAACCTGATGTCTGATTGGCGGCTTTTTACTGAACCAGATAAGAAAACTTCTCTTCACTTCTTCTTTTACTCTAAAGTCAAAACTTTTGCTAGAAAAGGTCTAAATACATTTCTCAAACATGTTGGCCTAGTGGTTAGAGCAGTGCGCTTATGCTCTGAGAGTACCCGGTTCGATCCGGCCTCTCAGTTCCTGAGCAAGACCCTTTACCACTCACTGCTCCCTGGGCACCACACGCCCACTGCTCCCAAAGGGCATGGGTCACACGTAGACAGTGAAATCCCCCCCTGTGGGACAATAAAGGGATTTACATTTTTCCTCTAAAAGGTCAATAAGATTTCATGATTTGGTGCTAGTCAGTGGGCGGGGCTAACCGTTATACTGCTAAAATCTCTGGCAGCTCCCAAAAACTAGATCCCAGAAAGCGCTCTCTTTGACTTTGATGGATGTTTGACAGAGCAAACTTATTCATGCTGTGCTTCAGAGGAGAAACATTAAATAATTTATTAAATCATGAAATTGCTATATTTTACTATACTTAACTAAGCCCCGTATCATGAATTATCTCATTATTAAGAATATTCTGTATTCATTTCCAGTTTAACCAAAGTAATTACACATTTTTATCATTATTTTTAAGGTATTTATTTATTGAAGTGTGGCACTTGTCACCCTCTAAAATGAAAAAAACACCTGTCAGAATTTCTTACAATCAGCACTCAGAGCTGTAGCAGAAAATGGCCAACAGAGAGACCTTCAATTCTTGTGCAATGGAGGCAAACATCAGAATGGATGAACGGATACAGCATAGCTAGTTTGTTTTTTACTGGTACCACATGTACAATAATTTTCAGGTTTTAATTAGTAGCACCTTGTTGTTTTGTTGTAATTTTTGGGAGGATGGTATATAAGATTCACGGTTGAATAACACACTTCTGTATTGTACACAACAAGCATAACACTAAAAAGAAAATGGCCTAAGTTGTGATTCATCATAGTGTTTTATGCTTAGCCCATAATTATCATTTCATTTGCAAACAAAACCGCTTTCATAGAGGTATTATTCATATTGTTTTGAAAGTAAAGTTTAATGTTGCAAATGAATGTAGCGGTTTTGTAGATTGTGTGACTTGTCTTAACTTGGTTTAGATCTCAGCTTTGGGAGTGTTACCAGAAACATCACTGTCCACAAGCACAAAAGCTGTTTACAGTATTTATCCTAAAACTGATTTTACATAGCTGAATATACATTGTGGAACAAAGACTTTAAAACATTAAATACGGGTCACTTAACATGGATTTAGAAACCCAAATTTACTTCTTGTGTCACAGTGCAATCATAAAAGGTTGGTCTACTTTTTACACATTTTAGAACAATACATGTGTGACATTTAAAAAGTGTACACAGCCTTTTACTGTTGTTTAGTAAGATCTAAGGACTACATGAGTCAAACGAAATGACAACAAGGACTTTATGTTATACTACGATGAAACGGAAACTGTAATTACAGGACATGATAAACAGAAAAAGAAGTCCATGGTATTAGACAAACAAGTTTACATTAGAAGACAATAAAATTAGTGTGCACTGATTGAGATAAGACCATCTGCAGATAATAAAGGAAAATGACACGTGAAATAGAAAGATAACAGAACCTAAAAATGAAAAATTTAAAAAAGGCTTTGAGGAAAAAGAATACTGCTTTAAAGTTAAAGAATGTGTTTAAACCAAGATGGATTATTCAGTGACAATACTCACTCAGTAAACAGTCCTCTCCAAAACAGACAGAATTTCCAATGATTTGAAGAAATGAGAATAAAAAATCATAACATTCTGTGAAAACAAACTCAGCTTTTGAGAAGATGTTAGTGCTGCATCTACAATGTCTGAAAAAATTGATCTTGCTATCTGATTAAAGTGCTGGTGAGCCTAAGAGAAATACAGTGGGAGGGTTGGGCTAAAGGTTTGCAGAAGCAAAGCATCTTTACTCAGAAGAGGAAATTAGCATGAAACTGCAGTAACCAAACTGCTTCCTTTAGCTTTTGATAAGAACAAACGTAATCTGGTCACGGAGGCACTAAATGATGTCACGAGCAGACAGGCACCGCATGCTCTGTAGTTTATTAAGTCATATTACAACAAAATGACATGGGTAATATCTGTGGGCAGAATTAAACAGATTAAACATTAACATGTGGGCAACAGAAGTGCTAAATGCAGCTATTGCACTGCTCCTCGTAAGCACAACAGATTATCTCAATATCTGTGTAAACTGCTCTCCTTTATCTGTAGAGAATTAATGGATTTAGGTTACGAGTAAACATCAATAAAACACTGATAGTAAAAAAAAATCTCTTCCAACAACATCCATAAAGCAAATTCTCATCAGTCAACTAAAACAATAAAAATCTTACTGTAGGACTAAGAACATAAAGTACACACAC